GATGAGAATGTCATTCTTCTTATTTGAAATGCTGCGGGGCAGTCTTAACCCCCCGGTCGAGTTTTTTTTAATGTGAAAACAGAGTCTTGACTCGTGAGTCGTGACCTCTCACGCAGAACAGTTTTTCTTACAAATTGATATCATAAAATTAGGTTCTGGATAATAACAATCACTGTCAATAGAGATTAGAGCCAGTGTTAACTAGCATATTATGATTTGTTCATATGGAAGCAACTATACGACGTTAAGGGCATATTTGATTGGGCTTTCTAAGAGTTTTTAGACTTTAGCTTTGTGACCTTCCAAAAGCCAAAAAACTTCCGGAAGCCAAAAACCAGAAGCTTCTCAAATTGAGCTTTTGGGCTTTTGACTCGTGGTAGCTTTTTGGTTTTTGAAGGTCCAAAAGCTCCCAGAAAGCTGAAACAAATAGGGCCTAAGAGTCTATTTGACGGAACCCTTAGAGCAATTTACATCTATATGACGTTACGAGTCTATTTGGCTGAACCCTTAGAGTAATTTACAACTATAGATGTTATTAAGAGTCTATTTGGCAGAACCTTTAGAGCAATTTGCAGCTCAATTTATATTAGATTTGATCAAATACCTGGTCGAGTTGGCTAAGAAAAATGATTAGGTCAAAATCGTTGGACCGAATTCGACCCAATGCACTGACGGGTTCGGTTGGCTATTTCTAAGAGTTTTCCTATTTTGGGTTGAGCCATGGATAAAAAATCATGGTTTTGAACTTGACCCGACACGTTGGTGGGTTAGGTTTTTTTGAACAGGTGAACATGTCTAATTTAGAGGGAGCTTCGATAGATAGTATTTTATATATATATTGATTTTCTGAAGTGTTTTTTCGAAATCAATAAAAAAAGTTGTAAGCTGGAAAATTAACTGCTCCTAATTCATTTTTTTCTCCATGGAATTTATCAACAAAAAAAATTAGTGAGACTTTTAGACACAGATGGCAATAGGTCGTACGTGCTGCGGGATGGTGCGATCACGGGTGCTGAGGCGTACGAGTTCGAGTGCGAGGAGGTGGTGGTGGCGCCGGTGCTGGATGTACACAAGAAGGCAGTCGTGGGCGCGCCTGGCGGTCCGTCTCTGGGGAACGGATCCTTCCGTGAGGTGCTGCAGGGCGGGATCGAGTTGAACTACGACACCCACTCCAACCAGTGCGACCGATGCGAGAGCTCCGGCGGATGGTGCGGCTACCAGCGCGACGAGACGCACGCCGGTGGGATGACGACGTTCACCTGTTTCTGCGAGGGCGGCCGGACCACGGATCGTTGCGTAACAGGTATGTCTCCTATTCCGTGCATTACTTTTCTTTTCTTTTTTACTTTTCTTCTCATTTTTCTGCTTGTTGGCGCTCCTAGCGTTCGGACGCTGGGATTCAAGGGCGCGTCCAGACGCACCTTCGGTCCCGTCCGAGTGTCCCCCCAAGCATGAAACCACGCCCCCGCCGCCCGCAAAAAATAGTAGACTCATTTCGATCCCTGACCAAAACAACAGAGCACCTAGCGCCCCGCTGCCCCATGGAATAGTAGACTCGTTCCATCCCACAGGCGCCGCCATCCCACCACGCCGCCTCGTCCCCCCCCCCATCCCGTCACGCCACCCATCCCCCGCCGCGCCCACGCCAGGTGCGTCGCATCCTCATCGCGCTCCCATCAGAAAGTATTACTTGTTTGCATCATCAAACAAAAGGAAATGCGAGGATGCAACATCAGAACAAGTCTACTACAACATTAGAATAAATCAACTGCAACAACAGAACAAAAGCTACTGCAATACGAGATGCAACATCATAAAACAGAAACTGATACAACAAAAAATATTACTTGTTGCAACACCGTAACAAGGCTACTGCAACAAAAACAGAAAAAAACGCAAATGCGAGAAATCAACATCAGAAAAAAAAAGATTAATGCAACAAAGAAAAATTACTTGTTGCAACAGCAAAACAAAGCTACTGCAACAACAAGAAACAAAGCACAATGCGAGATGCAACATGAGAAAAAAAAGACTAATGCAACAAAGAAAAAAATACTTGTTGCAACAGCAAAACAACGATATTGCAACAACAGAAACAAAGCACAATACGAGATGCAACATCAGAAAAAAGAGACTAATGCAACAAAGGAATATTACTTATTGTAGCAGCAAAACAAGGCTACCGCAACAGAGCTTGCCGGAACCCTAGCCACCGCGGCATCCCTAAGATCCAAATCCAGAGGAGGAGGAGGGGGAGGAGGGGGAGAAGGAGAAGGAGAGCTTAGATCCAGAGGAGGAGGGCTCAGATCCACCTACCTCGCCGGAAGCTGCCGCCGTCGCCCTCCTCTCCGGTGGCATGGAGGTCACGGAGGGAGGGGCGGCTCACCAGAAGTCGCCGCCGTCGCCCTCCTCTTTGGTGGCATGGAGGTCGTGGAGGGAGGGGAGGCTCGCCGGAAGCCATCATCGTCGCCCTCCTCTCTGGTGGCATAGAGGTCGCGGAGGGAGGGAGGGGCGGCGGCGCGCGAGCGCTGCGTGCCAGTAGCGGGAGAGAGGAGCGGGAGGAGGAGCGGGCGAGCAGAGCGAGGCGCGGTCGGTCGAGCAGAGTGGAGGAGCGAGAGGAGGACGCGGGCGAGCAGAGCGAGGCGTGGTCAGTCGCATCAAAAGTCCTTGCGTGTTGAGCACTGGGAGTTGACGCCTCAGTCATCCACGTTGAACCAGGTATCTGGTTTCTCTAAGAATACAGCGCTACCTCTTTGCTGGCCATGTCTCGCCTACCTTGTGTCCTAATCCTGTGTGTTCGTGCCCCTAACTCCCATTAGATTCTGATACATCTAGTTATACGCAGCAGCTCTTGGATCTTTAAAAAGATATCGTGAGTATGACATAAGCTTGCACCCTATTAAATGATAGTCGAATTATGTGGAAAACCTAGATGATGATTGTAGGGGACCGTGACGTCTAAGAGGGGGGGTGAATTAGGAAACTTAAAATTCTATTTCTTAACTATGGCCTCTTTTTCTAACCTTAGCAAAATATATGCAAAAGATAAACTATCTAAATGTGCAACTACGGTTTTGCTGGTGTGTTGCTATCTCTACCGCAAAAGGAGTAATACAATCAATGTAAATGCGAAAGCTAAAGAGCAAGGTGGAGATATGCAAACTCCCGTCGACGACTTCGGTATTTTTACCGAGGTATCGAGAAGCACGTAAGCTTCCCCCTAGTCCTCGTTGGAGCCCCTCGCAAGGAATCCCTCGCAAGGGCCAAGCTCCCGGTCGGGTAACTCCGTGGATAGCCTCGGGCCTTCCCCACGCGCGAGTGGGTCTCCGACGTGCCTTCTGGCAAGCCTCTCCTAGATGCTCCCCGCCGTCTTCACTATCAAGCTTCCGGCCGAAACGCCGCGGGCCTTATTCCCTCTGGTACACGGTGGCAGCCACACCACAACCGTGGTTGGTGTGATCTCGCAAGACTACAAGCCCCTCCGATGTACAACAATGGTGCGCGCAAACACCAAGTGGTAAGAGGTATGCAAACCTCACTAAACACTAGGGCTAAATCTAGAGCAAGCGCATAAGCGGTGGTCTAATCAACCTAAGCACTTCGCAAAGCACCTATGCTAATCACCTAATGAATCACTAAGCACTATACAAGTGGAGATCGCTAAAATGGTGTATCAACACCCTTGATATGTTTCCTCAGCTCCACTCCTTTCATTTGGCTGGTTGGGGGTTGTATTTATAAGCCCCACTGAGAAAGTAGCCGTTGGGGACGAAATCCCGCTTTTCTGCTACTGATCGGACGCTGATCACATCCTGACCGGACGCGTCCGGTCGTCCCGACCGTTAGAGCCACGATCAACTGATCAGACGTTGCCAGCGTCCGGTCACTTGCCACCGGACGCGTCCAGTCGCAATTTCGCCGCTCTGGAACCCCTCTGTACTCGATCGGACGCTGCTGCTCTGCGTCCGGTCGATTTGCCGCCAGCGTCCAGTCCAGCGTCCGATCACTGCTGCTAACGCCTGCTGTAGCCGAGCCACTGATCGGAGCGTCCGGTCAATCACCTTCCAGCGTCCAGTCACCTCTGTGAGCTCGTATCTTCGCGATCTTGTGTCCAGCTTGATTCCTATCTTCATGCTTGGACTTTGCTTGATATCTTGAGTCTTCTCTTGTGCTTTTAGGGTCTTGCTTAAGGTGTTGATCATCAGATCATCACGTCGCATTCATCCAAGTCACATCTTGCACCCTATTGAACTATAAAACAATCACTTGCAAATTCATTAGTCCAATTTGGTTGTGTTGGTCATCAAACACCAAAATCCAAAGTAAATGGGCCTAGGGTCCATTTTCCTTACAATGATATTGAAACAACCACGACAAGAGACTAGGATTTGATGAAACCGACCACAAATTCTATAAGAACAACTCCAAAAGAGTATAAATGATTATCGCTCTTTCACAATCCATCTAGGACCCACTGATTCCTACCCTATACAAAAATCTAGTGCAATAGAAGTTTTAGCCCAATCTTCTTGAGTGTTCCTAATTGTTCCTTGCAACAATGATTCCTACCCTTGCAACAATGAGTCCTATCTTGCCTGGACCAACAAGCTTAGGGATCATATAGCACGCAGCGGAAGAAAATTCTATCGACGCAGGTTCACCCAATTTTCTTCCCAGGCAGCGGACGATCACTGATTCAACGGTTTGGCACGGACCGGCGCAAGACCGCCAAGTCCACGCTGCTTCAGTCTCCATCTCCCAGCGTGTCCCACCTCCATGTCAATCGGCTTGTTTGGAGTATCTCCTGCACCACCTCCGGCCCACCACCAACCAGCCTTCGCCGAAACCCGGTCAAGACGTCAAGTCCACGAGACCTATAAGTCACAACTCACAAGAAACCAAACGCGTGCCCAATTGGAGCTAACAAAACTATCTCAAAAAAAAAAAGGAGCTAACAAAACAGCCAGATGAGCGTGAACCCACCTCGCCTTCTCGCCGCCATGGCTGTTCACCTACCATGTCTCCCCGTCCTCCTCTTCGTCTTCCTCGCCGTCCATGTCCCTGTTACCCATGCCGACCCTCCTCTTCTGAGCACTTACGACGTCTCCATGTGCTCGGAATCGTTCTCGTGCGGCGTCGTCGAAATCCACTACCCGTTCTACCTTGCCAACGCAACCGAAGCAACCGCCGATTACAGCGGGAACTTCTCTTGCGGCTACACCGACTTGAGCATTTCCTGCAAACTCGAGGGGCAGACCTGGATCCCTACCATCCGTCTCGACGGCGACGACTACACCGTCGATACCATATCCTACCACTACGACCATCAGACCATCCTACTGGTGGACAGCGATGTGCTCGGAGGCGCAGGCGGCGACTGCCCTGCTGTCCGCCATGAAGTCAGCTTCAACGGGACATGGCTGCATAGCAGCAGCTACAACGACAACCTCACCTTCCTCTTCGGCTGCGACCCACGCGGTCCCGTGCCGCCTGAATGCGACGCATACAAAATCAACTGCACGCAGTTCAAGAGTCCGCCAGGTGCTGGCCCAGGAGACTCCTTCGTGGTCGTTATGACTGATGAGAATGACAGGTATCTGGAGCAAGAATTGGCTACGAAGTGCGGCAACACCATGGTTGTCACCGTGCCAGTGAGAGGCGATGTTCTGATGGCAGCAAGTTATAACAAGAGCAACTTCACAAGCGGCGGATACGGGGCGTGCTTAAGCGTGGGTTCGAGTTGGAATGGAGCCGTATCACAGGCACAGCGGATGGGTGTCACCTGTGCGAGGCGTCGAACGGACAATGCGCCTATAGCCAGAACAGGGAATTCCTGGGCTGCTTGTGCCACGGAGGGAAGGCGGGCAGCCCGGACTGCGAACACATCGTCCCTGCGACTGCGAGCACCGCAACTGCATCACGTAAGTCCTCCTGAACCAACCCTTTTGTTTTTGCAATCACCAGAGCACGCACCGGTTGCGTCAGTAGCTTGGAACCTCGTAGCTATCCTCGCAACGTCCCGTGTGAGCGCGTCCCGCTGCTCCTTGCCTCGTGCTAACGGTGAACGCTTGACCTGATCTAGTCTACACTTCGTTGGGGTTTTTGCCTGGGAAATTAATGCTTGGGTAGGTACAGAGCCGGAAATTCTGGCTCCTGCTTGCATCATTCGACAAGGATGTTTACAGCCTCGCGACCCTCGTTCTGCTTTTTGCACCAAATCCGTCCTTTTTCTCGTGAGCGAGATTCATCAGCCGGCCCGGCGGCCTTGTTAGGATAATTAGGTATTTTTATTATCAATTTAATTCAGAAATATAACATCAGCAGGTTCGTGACAACGTATATGTGCATGTGTATATCTTAAAAAACGCTACAGCATGCAGATATGTACAAATAGATATAGTAAGAACGCAAAGTACGGTAATAACAGAGACTAAATTGTACCCAGCGGAAGGTCCCATGCCGAGGGCATCGGAGGCTCCATTCGCACTAGTCGACATAGTGCGTTGCTTGAAGTCGTGGACCACAGTCGATGCAGGACGGTGTTCGCAGTGCAGTCCCATGAACGGATCACCAGGAAGAAGGCGGGTTCCGCGAGGAAGAAGATGTCGAACGAGCAAACGAGCAGTCGCGGAACTGCTCCCCAAAAATCTAATCGCCGCACACCCCGTGCAAAGTTCGCAGACGGACAAGGGTTTCGGAGGCACCTGCTCTCCCGCTTCTTCGTGTGCGCAGAGGTACGGGACGGGGAAGCCAGAGGGCTGCTGAGATGTGGTCTCTCTCGAAAGCGAAGCGGAAGATCTGGACTGACAGAGGACTGCGGATTTATGGATGTGACGGGAAAGGAGAAAGGCAGTGGAGAATCCCAGGAGACGAAGAGTGGAAGGGACGGTATTTGGCGCAATTAGTTCGCCTCCACCATCAAGGGAAGAAACTCTCGTGATTATGTGGATTAAGTGGCAAAACCTAACCACGCCCGCCCGCTTGCTTGCCGCCCGCCTGCCAGCCTCACCCACGGCCTCGGCCTCGGCCTTGGCCCGGCCCGGCCCGGCCTCCGGCGGCGGCGGCGCAAACGCCCGTGTGGCACCTCTTTGTCCTTTTCTCAGCTCCTCAATTAAGATGGATAATTTTCAACCATATAAGTTGAGTAAACGTTCAGTCAAAATCCCATACGGTGTTAAACCATACAACACTTAATGTTACGTACCATAGAATTTTATTTCATTTATTAAATATTATACGGGTCAAGCCCATAATATATCCAACAATCCCCACCAAACTCTAGAGTTTGTAACAAAGTAGTCTCAGAACCACATTTCTTTTATATACTATTGTTTCGATGGAGACTGTTAAGTTGAACATCCATCTAGAGCAATAGTTTCACTCAGTCACAACTGAACAATGGACTAAGCTTTGAATTGACAGTTTTGTGTGAGGTGAATGTCACTAAAGTCCTTAGCTGATACTAGGCTACAAAAGACATCCCCTCTATTGGAAGCATATAAGTCATACTCCTGTGCCTTTCATGAGTATTTAGATATCACCTAAATCTCATAGACTGTGACCAGCAGTCTGACTCATATAGGTGTGTTCCTTAAAAGATGTTCTGTAGGACAACATCTTTGCTTTAGCAAGCCACTTGGACCACATTAAGATAAAAACCAACCTGCCTTACAGAAAGAAAAGATATGCATCAGAAATGGGTCTTACAAAGGATCTTTTCTCACAATTTACTACCAGCTTGTTTCACCATCCTACTTCACAGGATCTTCGATCACATAGAACAGGTTACCACTATAGTAAATTTTATGTGGGTCTCAAACCCATCTCTCTCGATGCACTTTCTATCACATTACGTGATAGACCCTTAGTGAATTGATCTGCCAGATTGTTAGACGTGTGAACATAGTCCAACGCTATTACTCCGGAGTTTCTCATTTTTCTGACAGATTTTAGTCGTCTCTTAACATGCCTTGTGGACTTCATGTTATCCTTAGAACTGTTAACCTTCGTAATCACTGTCTGGTTATCGCAGTTCATAGAAATAGTCGGTATGGGTTTTTCAACGACCGGTAAATCCATATGGAGATCACGAAGCCACTCGGCCTCAGAGCTAGCGGTGTCTAATACTGTGAGTTCTGCTTCCATTGTAGACTTCGTTAAGATAGTCTGCATGCAAGACTTCTAGGAAACAGCACCACCTCCAAGCGAAAACACATATCCACTTGTGGCATAAAGCTCATCAGCATCAGAGATCCAGTTGGCATCATAATAGCCTTCCAACACCTTCGGGTGTCCGGTATAACGAATACCATAGCTCATAGTGCCCTTTAGATAGCGTATCACTCTCTCAAGAGCACGCCAGTGATGATCTCCCGGGTTTGACACAAACTGGCTCAGCTTGCACACAGCAAATGAGATGCCAAGCCTTGTTGCACTAGCAAGATATATGAGCAAACCAATGATCTCAGAATATCTCAACTGATCCCTTGCTATTCTCCGATTTTTCCTCAATAGCACACTCGGGTCATAAGGTGTAGGAGCAGGTGCACAGTCACTAAACCCAAAGCGACTCAGCACCTTTTCCACATAGTAGGATCACCATCACCTTCTCTCAGAAACTTAATATTAAGAATAACATCAGCATCTCCCAAATCTTTCATCTCAAAATTATTAGATAAAAATTCCTTCACCTCCTTAATCACTTTGAGGCTGGATCCAAAGATTAGTATGTCATCAACATATAAGCACAAAATAACTCCTTCACCCCCACCATACCGATAGTACACACATTTGTCAGCTTCATTCACAACAAAGCCAACAGATGTTAAAGTTCTGTCGAACTTCTCATGCCACTGCTTAGGAGCTTGTTTTAGGCCATATAATGACTTTAATAATTTACACACCTTGCCTTCTTGACCATTTGCTACAAACCCATCCGGCTGATCCATATAGATCTTCTCCTCTAACTCTCTGTTTAGAAAAGTTGTCTTAACATCCATTTGATGAACAATAAGACCATCAGAGGCTGCTAGGAAAAGCAAAACATGAATTGTGGTCAATTGGGCAACTAGTGAATAAGTATCAAAGAAATCCTCACCTTCCTTTTGAGTATAAACCTTGGCCACAAGTCTTGCCTTGTACCTCTCGATAGTACCATCAGGCCTAAGGTTTTTCTTGAACACTCATTTGCACCCTATAGGCTTGCACCCATAAGGACGATCAACAATTTCCCAAGTTCCATTAGACATAACAGAATCCATCTCACTCCATACTGCTTTCTTCCATAAGTCAACATCAGAAGAGGAATATGCCTCTTCAATGGTCGTTGGTGTGTCATCCACAAGATACACAATATAGTCATCACAAAAATACTTTGTAGTCCTCCGTCTCTTACTTTTTCTAGTGACTATAGTGTCATCCTCCTCAGGATTTTGCATATAGGGTTCCTCAATTTGTTCTATCGGAGTAAAATTTTCATGCTCATGGGGAATTATAAATTCATGACCAGTCGTGGTAAATGTATTTTTCATGGGGAACTCATTCTCAAAAAATGTAGCGTCTCTAAATTCTATGATTATATCAACAGCCATCTCAGGAACACTAGAATTTATAATTAAAAATCTATAACCCACGTTGTGAATAGCATAACCAAGAAAAACACAATCAACAGTCTTTGGCCTAAGCTTTCGCTTTTTATTTATTGGCACATTCACCTTTGCCAAACAACCCCAAGTTCGCAGGTAAGAGAGATTTAATATCTTCTTCTCCCATTCCTCGAATTGTGTAATTTCTTTATTCTTTGTGGGCACTCTATTCAGGACATGACATGCTGTCAATATAGCCTCACCCCACCATTCCTTAGATAGTCCCGCAGTCTCTAACATGGCATTAACCAAATTAGTTAGAGTGCGGTTCTTTCTCTTTGTAATCCCATTGGACTATGGTGAGTATGGTGGCGTCCTCTCATGAATAATTCCATGCACCGCGTAAAACTCAAAAAATTCATTTGAGAAATATTCTCCCTCGCGATCGGACCGCAAACTCTTGATTTTCTTCTCAAGTTGATTTTCTACTTCAGCTTTATAGACTTTAAAATAATGCAACGCTTCATCTTCAGTTTTCAATAAATACATGTAGCAAAATCTAGTACAATCATCTATAAATGTCATGAAGTATCGTCTACCGCCTTTAGTCAATTCGTCATTCATTTCGCATAAATTAGAATGAACGAGTTCTAATGGTGCCAAGTTCCTCGCCTCAGCAGCCTTGTGAGGCTTGCGCGGTTGTTTTTATTGCACACACACCTGACACTTAGAATTTTTGACTAAGTTAAATTTTGGGATTAAATTCAGATTTGCAAGCCGCATGAGACAGCCAAAATTATTGTGACAAAGTCGTGAATGCCATATATTTGACTCATCCGAAACATTAACATTGTTCACTACTTTATTACACACATCATCAAGCAAAGATAAGCGGAACAAGTCTCCGCAATCATAACCTTTTCCAATAAATGTTCCATGTCTCGACACAACACACTTATTGGACTCAAGCATAATTTTAAAGCCATCACAACACATCTGAGAACCGCTAACAAGATTCTTCTTGATGGAGGGGACATGCTACACGTTCTTTAATAGCACCATCTTTCCCGAAGTAAACTTCAGAACGACTATACCAACGCCAAGAACACGCGCATGCGAACAGTTTCCCATCAGCAAGGCTCCATTCCTGCCGGCCTGATAGGAAGTAAACAAAGAAACATCAGCACACACATGAATATTAGCATCGCTGTCCATCCACCACTCAGGTAAAAGACAAACTGAAAGAACAAAAGGTAAAGAATTACCATACCCAGATGTTCCTCCTCCAGTCTGGCTAATCACCACGTTTGCTGATTTCTTTTCTTGCTTATATTTGCGGTCTGGGCACGCACTTGCCCAATGCTCATCACTCCCGCAAATAAAGCAACCTCCACCTTTGTTGTTATTTTTCTTCTTAAATGGAGCAGTCTGTTTAGGCTTTGTATTGTTGTTCTCTTGCATGTTCTTCTTCTTTTTATTACGGGATGCAAATG